TAAGACCAGCTTATTCCATTCTTTTCAAAATACCCATTGATCATATCAAAAATCGCTTCTCCAGTTGTGTAGGTTTTCAAAGGTTTTGCAAATAGTACATCTTCTTGAACAATATTCGTAAAAAAAAAATATCTACTGTAGAACAAGCAAGACTGCGGCATTTGTTACATCTATCGTCAATTCATCAAGTTGAATTGCAAAATAATTCAATTTTATTCTTTTTAGAAGTTTCGTTCTCCACATAATTAGCCAAGTCATTAATTCTACGCGACACCGTGTTGTTTGATAAGGGAACTGGCTCAATTTTCTTTGCTGCCTTTTCCCCAAGCATACATACATTGGCGATATCTTTCGCACATGGTCCAATTAAATTTTCTGCTATTGTATGCGCTTGTCCAGATCTTGCAATTCCATAACTTACTCGAAATGATGCTTCAAGGGCCATTTCACTATCTTCGTTTGAAGTCAAGAAAGAAGAAAGGCTACACTTTTTGATATCTGCTAATTTTCTTTTGAAATATTCAAGAGGTTTATCTTTGTGTGTCGAATGTTTTGTTTCAATATGTCTACGAAGAAGTGATGGTTGTAAACTGCTGTTGGCAAGAGCTTCGTTACATATAACACAAAGTGGTTTAGGTTCCGACTCATTCCCAGTAAAATAAAAACCCAATTCTAGATAGTCGCGGTCATATTTTAGCTTTTTCCTTTTCTATCATCATTTCCTTTGTTTTTCATCTGGTGAAACGGTACCTCACTACAGCTTTCAGTATTATCATCTCAATTATCATGTCTTGTTTTTAAACGACCCATTTTTAACCATCGTTCCATAATAAAAATAAGCTATAATAATAATTAAATTAATAATTATTAAATCAAAATCGTAAAAACAACCTTGTATTTAGCGTAGGTATAATGAAACACTCAATCGATTTCGAGGGCAGCTAAAGGTCCCTCCTCATCAGGAGAAAGAAATACCTAGAAAGAAAATAAAGGAGAAGGAGTCACAGAAACACATGGTCCTTATCAGCACTGCACGTGGTTATAACTAGATTTTTAATCAGAGTTGCACTGGCCGCCTACTTTTACCGAGCCAGGCTATCTGATCGAGCATGAAAAATTAGTGAAGTTAAAATAGGGAGCGAGGGGCAAATGCACCTTAGCTCAAAATCTGAACTTCAAATAATGGAAAGCAACCACTGAATGGTTTTTATACCCTCTGGTAGTACCAAACGCGAGGAGGTAACGCCATCTATTGGCAAAAATAACAGAATTAAGATAGTAGAATTTTAAAGGCATTAGGAAGGACTGGATTGGACTTCAAATCATTAACTAAACCTGCTAAATCTTTGTAAATGTGAAAAGCCTCAAGAAAATCCAATTCACCTATGGAAGAAGCCTTTTGGATAATTTTTGCAGATCCAAAATCAAAATTATGGTTAAAAGTCCAACTATGATACGCTATTGAAGACTTGTTAATTTCGCCTTTTCTGACATAAGATTCATGTTCCTTGATATGAAACTTCAACGCTCTTTTCGTTTGGCCGATATATCTTAAAACACACTGACACGATATACTATAAATTCCCCAAGAATTCAAGACAGAAACGCAATCTTTTAGAATCGAAGGGTGAATTTTATTAATAGGGGAGAAATTGACTTAAAATTGAATTTCTGGAGAATCCGTGCAATTTTATAGCTAACAGAAGGATAAAATGGAAGCACGACAAGGTCATTAATATTATCTCTAACAGTGGAATGTCTTCTTTGATGGGAATCTGAAAATTTTTTAACGGCTTTATCAATAATCACGGGAGAAAATTCACGGTCAATCGCAACTGCTCTCAAATAATTAAGTTCATTGGTAAGCAAAGATTCAGAGGAACAAACTTTAAGCACGCGGAATATATAATAGTAAAAAGAAGCCATTTTTTGCTTACCAGGGTGGCATGACTTGGCATGGGGTGGTAAACAAACTGCAAAGGATTTACGGTACACAATAGTGCTAAAATCAGTTTCATTGCGGATTATAAGAATATTAAGGAAGGGGAGGGAATTATTGGATTCAATTTCAAGAGTGAATTGGATGGCTGGATCAATTGAATTCATAATAGATAGAATCTCGGATACGTCCTCTTTATAACCATCAAAAAGTGCAAAAGTGTCGTCAACATACTGAATCCAAAGACGAAAAGACAGTTTATCAAATAATTTCATCTCAAAATAGTGCATATAAATGTCAGCAAGTACCGGACTGAGAGGATTACCCATAGCCAATTCTTCAACTTGACGGAAATATGCATTTGGAAAACAAAGTGGGTTTGACTCAGAGAGACTTTAGTAAGCGAAACCAACTCATTACTTTCAGTATGTGTGAAGTGAAATTCCCGAAGCCTAGTTTCAAGACAATTTAGTGCTCCTTCGACTGGAACATTAGTAAACAGTGATTTGACATCGAATGAAACCATAATGGAACGAAATGGAGAAATATTTTTAAGTTTATCAATGACTTCAAACAGAATTTTTTACAGTGTGAATATTGTTAGCAAGTAATATTGTGAATATTGTTAGTAAATTGGAGAAAATCTGGAAACTAAATATTTGGCCAAAGGATATGAAGCAGTACCTATGTTGGAAATAATTGGTCGAAAAGGAATACCAGTTTTGTGGACTTTTGGAAGAGCATAAAGCCTAGCGCAATTAGTAATAGGTGGAATACGTGATTTCTTCAACTGAGTTGGCAGAATATGGAAAGATTTGATAGCACTTTTAACTTTCGTGTGGTCCGAAGTTGAAGGATCTTTAGGGATCGAGCAGTATGGGCCTTCATTTATCAGTTTAGAGACTCCAGTAATATATGTGTGTTTGTCCATAACAACGATCTGTCCGCCCTTATCAGCTTTAGAGATAATGATATTAGTATCAGAATGAATTTCACGTAAGATCTCATTTTCCTTTTTGCTAAGATTCGAACCCAAGATTTGTTGTTAAAATTAATGCTCGTCAGATAGCCTGGCTTAGTAAAAGTAGATAGCTCATCAGATTTTTCATGCTCGATCAAATAGCCTGGCTCAGTAAAAGTAGGCGGCCAGTGCAACTCTGATTAAAAATCTAGTTATAACCACGTGCAGTGCTGACAAGCTTTACAAGTGCTAAGCCTATGTATGAATGTCGACAGACAGACAGACAAAATAGACAGTTAATACAACACTACTTTCCCAGTTCCCGGTTGTGAACAAGTATCTAATTCTAAGATCTGTAGTAAACTGCCTTAATTTGATATTTATTTCCAATTGTATTGTAAAAAAAATATTACATAGAAGGGAAAACTGCTGCAATGATTTTAAAATAAAGCAGAACATGATACTAATCACATTGATAAAATGTTTTAAATATAAAAATGTTTGTAATAAAGAGAATAGTATTTGATTACTTGAAAAGAGGAATAAATTGTAATGTATAAATTGTTGATATAATTTATATTGATGAAGTAATTTTGAAAAACAAATAAGGAAAAAAGAAATGAAAATATTGAAATTTATTATAGATTTATTAACAAACAGGCAGCAAACAATCTGTTTTACAGTGGGTGTGTTCTTTAATTTTTGTGGGTTTCCCCCCCCCCTTTTGCTTTTAATGGCATTTTAAAAAATCCGCCAGGGGGTTCGCAAAGCACCGGTTGGGAATCGCTGTCCTAGATTATCGGTGAGCCCGATCTGGGCACACTTAGGATTCGCCGTTTGATTTTAGGCAAGATTTCAAGGTAAAAATTTAAAACTAATATAGAATAAGAAGATTAGCATACAGGGGGAAAGAAAAGAAAAAAAAAGTAACACAAAAATTTCTTTTCAAACAATTCCTTTTATGCATTTTTAAATTTCCAGTAGCATAAATATAGCACAAGTAAATCCAGATGAAGGCACTGTTAAATTGATTATTTATATGTATGAAACCTTTTTGTAAAACTTATTTGGCAGCAGATATGAAATTAATTTTATTTCATAAAGGAATCAAGTGTCATTTTATATTGTTATATAGTTTGCTGTCTCCTCTTTTTTTTTTTTTTTTTTTTTTTTTTTTTTTTTTTTTTTTTTTTTTTACACTCCAGTACATGTGTATTTTAGTAATGAAAGCAAAATATCATCAGTATAGGATTGCTACAGAAATAAAAGCCTCTTATTGCTAGAAAGCTGCAGTATCCCCACCATTTCTTTTTATTTATTTACTCTTTCATTTTTAAAATGACATATTCTATTTTAAACAAGTCTGCTTTCCCCCTTAATAAGAGAAGCGTGCTCAAAGGAGATCTACCAATAATTCAGAGATACACATTTGTTTTAGTTTTTAGAAACAAAAGTTTTTAGGGTAGTTTTTCTTTGACATTTGAATTGTTTGTTAGAATTCTTGTCTGACTGTTATATAGAGCAGCCATTCAGAAAGGATTAATCATTTTGTAAAGATGCCACAGATATATATTTTAAATTACATTTCAGATAAGCAGTTATGTTTTTGAAAATTATCTGCAACAAATTATATATTGAATTTTCTCTTTCTTGTCAAAAACAGATATTGCTTAGCCTGTTGTGTACTTGAATACCTGACAAAAACCATCCACCAAAGTTCCTCCTCTTTTTTTTTTTTTTTTTTTTTTTTTTTTTAAACCAAGAGTGCTTTGAGGCATGAGACCAACTTTTTAGAGGTCTTTTGAGTCAACAGATTTGGGAATTTCCGTTATACAAGTAGTTTACAATCACAAATGTCCATGTTTTGCTAGTGATTTGAACTGTAGCCCATAATGGCATGTGTAGTTAACCTCTGCTAGCCATCATTCCATATGAGGCAGCATTTTCATAAATAAAATTATATGTTTTTGTTTTTAAAATTTTTTATGCATTTTTTCTTATATTTCCATTTTAAATTATTCTTTATTTTTGCATATTTTATTTATTAACCTTAAGAGATTAAAATGTATCTATTTGTTATATGTATATTTTTAGGTACGAAATAGTACAGAATCTTTGGTAGTGCAAAAAGCAATAGAGAAAAAGAACACTCGCTATTTACCTTCCAAATTAAGGATGGCCAAGACTGAATTTACTCTTAATTCTACGCCAGAATTTTGTTCTCGAACATGTAAATATTTTAGTATTTTTTATTGATATAGTCATTTGTTCTTTCTGTTATTAGAAAGAGGTAGTTTTTTAAAATTTCACTGTATTTGGCTTTTATGTACCATAACATACAAAAACTTATACTCCTCAGAAGAGTGAGTTGGTCCGGATTTTCAGACTGTCTTTCTGATATTCAAATTTAAAATGAAGTCAATATTATATTACTCAGTAAATTTTCATAATTCAGCAAATAATACTAATAAAAAGCTTGATCTCTGGTATTATTTAATGAAGTATGTGTGGTTTTTTGCTTTCATTATGGAAAAATAGTGGTACCTAGAGCACGAAATTTTAAAAACATGTGCACCTCATTCTCTTAAGTTTTGATTTTATTTATTACATATTATGGTTTGTGCAAATTTTATGAAATTTTCTTTAGCAAACTCCATGGTTTAAATGCATTGTGTTGCCGCTTGGAAAGGCATAAAATATTTATGTTTCAAATTTAATCAGAAGATCAGCCAATTAAAACAGGGTTCGTACGGTCCGTAAGAGTCCTTGTTTTTTGTAATCGATTTTTGGTCCTTAAAAATCCTTAATTTCGGCCAAAAGCGTCAGAAGGTCCTTAATTTTAATCATCTGAAATTTCTGTCTGTTTTTATGACTGCCATTTTGAGTGTGAATTAGCATTTTGGAGGAATATCTTTGGCGATTCACTGACGTATATGGTTATCTTTTGAAGGGGTTCATTGGTTATAATTTGTTTCAATTTCTGATATAAATGATGGGATACTCAAGTTTCTAATAAAGAGCTCTTAAAAAACTTTTCAGGATGTGAATTCTTAAACGACTCTAAATTTCGCGACTTGTCAACATTTTGGGGATTTTAAGATCAATTTGTATAGAAAATTTTTAATTCTGTGAGAATTTTTCGGCGATTGATTTTAAAACATCATAACATTGATAAATTTCATTAAAATAATGGTAATATGTTGAAATTATATTTAGAAAATAACATTAAAATAAAGCATTTTTATTTTTCACTGTCATATTATAAAGTTTCATTTTGGCAACTTATTATACAATATTTTGAATCTGAAAAATAAACAAGGTATAATGCTATAAAGCATAATTTATGACACAGCTCTTAGCAAAATTAGCTACATAATTAATTAAAAATGTCTTCCTTTTAATTTTTTCACAGTAAGCATTTCCCATGTAATTGTCTTAGAATATTCAAAATTTTCAGAATATGCATCAGTTTTCTCTATAAAATCAATTTTACACTTTTTCCTTCCCCCCCCTTTTTTTTTTTCCCCAAAATATCTCTGCTTTTTTGCTGTTACAGAATTGGTAGGGATAATTTTTCTTTAGTATTTTAGACACTGCAGCTTGGAAAGTTTATAAGGATTTGAAGGCAAGATTTATAGACCCACGATTCTAGAAAATTCGAGAAATATGTGACAAAATGAAAAATATTTCCATGGTATCAACATGTAATGGATATATTTTATAGAAAGTTTGTGATGAGTTTCTTACTTTTTGGAGAATGCCTGGAAGAACAATGAAAACATAATATTTGAATGTTTTACTCCTGATACTAGAGTCATTTTCTTAACATCTTCCCTTTATTTTCTCTACTTTTCACTAGACACAAGCATGGAAAATATCCAGAATATTTCTAATCTTTTCACTTGGGCAGGCATTATAGAAAGAGATTTTTTTATTAGTAGAGAAATTGAAAACTTACAATTTAAAATATTGATGTAATATGTCTTAATGCATCATACACAGAGTTGGCACTTGGCATTTTCCCACCTAATGCAATCTCTATAGATCCTAAATTCTGCTGTCTAGTGCCTTTCTAAATTCTAAACATTTTGCAATTTCTAGATTTTGTTGTTCAGTATGTCACTAAATTCTAAAAATTCTGCCACTGCCACACCAGCTCTGTAACCAGCCTTTACCATATATATTTCATATTTCTCCTGAATGTTCATATTACTAAAGAAATAAGATTAGCTACTTTTTTAATACATTCTAAGTGCATTTAGTGTTTTTTTAGAATAACAGGTGTTGGTGTTTGTGTATTTAAATATGGCAAAGCACACTAGGGCTATCTGCCTAAGGGGAGGGATGCCTTCGTGGAGGACTTTCTAAGGGAAACTGGCTCGTATACACGTTACACATGGGGAAAACCACAAAAACACCCATGCAGCCAGCCCGAATAACAGAAATCCTTAATTAAATCCAAAAATTCTAAAAAATGAAAAGGAAATGTGTTGAAGAAATAATAAAGAAAAATTACTCTTACTTACAAAGATATGTGCAGTTATTAGTATGTAAAATACCCTTTTTTTTTTTTTTTTTTTTTTTTTTTTTTTTTTTTTAAGCCTTTACTATAATTTTCCATTTCTTTTTCTTCATATGATAGAGTTACTGAGCCAGATTAAATTAAAATTAAATTATATTATCTTTTACCACTAGTCCACATTTTTAGTTTGAATTTGACTGTTCTTGTTTAATTACGCCACCGTGAGCTGTAATTGATTTTATTAGCATCAGAACATGCTTTTATGTTCTAAGTTCTTTTAAAATAAGAGGCTTATTTAAACCTTTGTCTGATATTGTAGTTATTTTCAGACATAGCTATAATTTTCTCCACGTCTGTCGGGGGTTGGGGACTATTTAACTTTTACCAGATCAAGTTAATCCTCATAGGTGCATTGCGGAAATGTTGACAAGTTTGGAGATAAAGCACGCAGGAACTAGCGAGAGCATTGGTTTACATATTGAGACAAATCTCTAATTATTGTTAGAAAAGATGCTTAAAGAGAAGGAAATCGGAATAAACTAGCCAAAGTGTTTGGGAAGGCTTCAAATTGAAATGACATTTTGTTGAGTGTTGTTGTTGCAAAACATAAATGTTTTGTAGCTTTTAATGTGTAATTATTCTAATATCATTTAATCGTTTTAGAATCAGTGTCATAAATAACATGTATTTTCAACTGTGAAATTTTATTAGATTTTGATTTAGTAGGGCTTTTTAACAAATATTGTTAAAAAAATAAAATTTAATAGTGGCTATGTAAATCCATAATGACTAAGGTTACCTAATTTAATTATTTATAACTGCTTACCCTTAAAAATTACCTCTACATATTAAAGTGAGTTATTGCCTTTCATTAATAGTCACTGTGGTCACAAGATAAAACACAAAATGTAAAAATTCAAGTAAATCTTGTTCTTTGCATCTAGTGAGACTTAAAATGATACAAAACAACTTATCAATTCTGGTGCTTTAGTGGCTTATTAGAACCTTAAAGTATATTAACTGAGTCACAACCCCTGGAACATGAAGCTGCGACACTAACGGTGTCATACAGCCCATCTAACTTTCAGAACTTGCCAACCATGCCTACGTCAGGCCTTTCAGGTTTGTTCTGATCAGCAGGTCTCTCTCTAGGTAAGCAGCAGCAGTGCAGTGACAACAAGCAGTCTTTTGTTGTGAATCATGCTGATTATGATTTTACTTCTCATTTTAACCTATGTTGCTGACATAAAATCTGCTTACTATTTACTAAAGCTCTAGACTGAGCAAGTATGTGACAAAATGAGATATATAAAATAAAATCAACATAAAACTAACTATTAGTAAAACATAAATAAAATGTCACTTATCTCCTTTTAAATATGTTCAGTTCTTTTAAGTGTAAAATATGTAATGCTCCTTGATAAATTTCATATATTTTATTTTCAGACTTAATAATAATTATGTTAATTAAGTCATGTTTAATAATAATGCATCGTACTTACAGATCTATTTTATTTTTAGGATGGTATTACAAAAGTGAAGTTCAGGCATAGATAATATTTTTAGTTGAATTTATTCAGTTCCCATTTTCTCATATCTCCTTAATTGTTTTCATTAATGGTCCTTAAAAGTATTTAATTTCCCTGTGCAGAAATGTGTACGAACCCTGTTAAAAGAAATGAGTCACACTCGACAAATGCAAGGTATTTGCCATTTAAATTTAATCAATGAATTTAAAATAAGTGTATTGCCTTATACCAAAATAAAAAAATTTAAAAAATATTCAGTATGTAATAATTTGGCAAAATGTAAGATGTTTCATTTTTCTAGAATTTTAATCTGTTATTGATTAACGAACTAAAGTATTTAAAAGCAGTAATGAAGTTCTTCTTCTCTATTAATTACTAGCTGGACCGTGAAATTTTACTAGTTGGGTTCATTTAAGTCATTATGTATTTTATATCTTTTTCACAATACCTGCTAGCTGCATAAACTGGTATTTAATCTAAAAAGAAAAGGTTTAAAAAAATTAGGACAGCTTTTGGCAAAGGATGTTTAAGAGACAATTGTGAAATAAAATTACCACTTTTGCAATTAATCACAGTAAAAATTCAACCCTTCTTTAATCAGACAACTTGACTATTCTACTCAAGAATTGTTTAACACATTTTTAATTGAGAGAGTACATATATTGGATGTAATTTGTTCTTCCTGAAATTGAATAAAACTGTAGTGCTGTTAGAAATGGTAGTTAGGAATTGTAGAACCAATTTCCAACACAATATCTTTTTCCCTTGGCCTTACTTAAGCACTTTTAACACTCATCTCTAATTACTTTCATCATTAGTATATAGGTGCTTTTTTTTTTTTTTTTTTTATATATATATATATATATATATAATCTGTTACGAGATAAAATACATTTTCTCAAAACAATACTATGTTAGCCATATTTAGCAAAATTTATGGGACTGCCTGTGCATAGGAAACAAAAATCTTTTTGAAGTAATGTTAGCAACAGCTCCCAAAAACCGTATACAGGAAATAAGTATAAATGAGAAACTATATGCGAAAATAAATGTGGGTGTAATTTTGTTACATTTTACTCTTTTATGTAATGTTTTTATTATTTCTATATGTTTTGTGCTAGTTTGTCTTTCCCAAAAGCCACACACAGTTTGCACTTAACAGTTTTCTTTTAATTGCTA